ACTCCCCATCCCCGGTCTCCTGTCCCCTTCCCCTTTGTGGGCCTATTTTTATTTTCTTTGAATTCCTAATCAGTTAATCAAATTAATTATCATTTAATGATTAACCTGTCCGTGCTCTGTCTTTGCCCTGTCCTGTTTTTGTTTGGGGTCCCCCTGGGCTCCTTGCCATTGGTTCTTGTTGCTGGGTCGTGTGGGGGTTGCGTTCATTGAACGCCGCCTTTCCTTGTTGATCTTGTTTATCATATTTTATATTTATTTCCACTTTATTTTATTTTTATACCCAAATTTTCTTTAATCTTACCATTTTGCAGGTTCTGTGTACAATGTGGCACTAATATTTTAGTCTCGTTACTTTAATATTGGTGCCCCACTGGACACGGAATCATTTTATTACTACATATAATTATCAATGTATTGAATAGAAACAATACACACTTTCTTTCACCTCTTCGGGTACATTCTACGTCTACTAATTCTTTACAGATTAGAAATTACAGTACACCTAGACGAACACCATCCGTCGTTCTTTCGCCTTTTAAACTTTTCATCTGTTAATTCTTTTTATATTTCCACGATCCACTAACTCTAATATTTTTAATAATTCTTTACGCATTAGGCTTTCTCCTATAAAACATACCATTCTAAGAAATATAATATCACACATACTAATTATCCTCATAGTGCTAGAGTGTATCCTTCTATTATTAAGAGTAATTCTAAGAGGTGCGGATGTTGTAACTTTTTATCGCACAGGTCTACAATAACCTCTAATGTAAATGGGAGAACTTTTAATATTATTTTAAATACAGATATTGACTGAAAGGCAACTCATTTTGTTTATGTTTTAACTTGAAACACCCCTGGGTGTGGCATACAGTATGTTGGTCAGACAGGACGTTCTCTTAAAATTCGATTCCGTGAACATTTTTATAAAATGAGAAATCGCACAAAATTTACAACTTGTTAATGTTATATTGTTGATGTTATATTTTCGATCCTTGAAGATCGTTCAGCACGACATTATTGTTGTGCTTGTGGTATTTTTAGTTTTCACTTTTCGGCATTTTCTAGTTGGGTGGTTCCAATATTCCTACTTGAATAATGTTGAATCACCCTTAGGATATGTTGCCTGCTTTTTAAATTTGTCTTTTGACGTCTTATCTGTGATATGCAGGCTTCATAACCTCAGATCCCCTTTCAAAATTCCATTTTATTTAGTTCCGCCCATTGTTTTCTCGTTTAGGGCACACGCTTTTTATTACTTGGGGACCATACGCCGCTTTTCATGGAATGGCACGGAAGTGTCACATTGAAGGTTCCATGATAACTGCCGTATGAACACATCTGCGGATGTTTCTAAATTCAAAATTTTACTATGTCATGTTTAAATGTTGAATTCTGCTTAAGCCGGTGCCAGGGGGCGTGGACGGTAACTTGCACTTTCCAGTACCGTCCATGAACAGGCTCAATCAAACCGAGCCTGCAACATTTTCAATTTTGCCGTGTTGGGCTTTCTTTAGGGATTCTGTATTTATCTATTTTTCTATATCAACATTTTCGTAAAGATGGTCATTCATTTAAAAATGTTTCAATTCAACCAGTGGAACAAATAATTTATGATTCTGATGCTTTTGCTAGTTTTATCTTGTTTTTCATATTTTAAAGTTAAAGTTAGACACTTAGCAGAATTAAAATGGATCAAGAACTTACAAACGCCTTTCCCACTTGGCCTAAATGACAATATTTTTCAACAAGGTAACATCTCTAAAGATCCAAACATTGATATATTTTTCTATTCTGAATATTCGTAAACGTAAATCCCGATCTCACGGAGTACGTAGAAATGGCAACATCAAACGTAAATCTAAAATTACCCTGTCTGTCACCGACTTAAATATTATCTTAAAGAACTCTGGTAAACATGCAATGTTATCACGTCTTACTTCCCTTTCATTATCATCTCTGAAAATCTTAGACGCGGAAGCAGATAATATAGTTATTCAAACAGATCCTTTATATACAGCAGCTTATCTTATTCAAAGTTATACTCAGCACGTCTTAAGACCTCATATCGACAACACTTCTGACCACAACAGGCATTTCCTAAAAGTAACCTTTCTTAATACAGGTATCGATTTCATCGATTTACCAAGTATTTTTCGTGATAAACGTGTCACTAATTCAGTTCCTTTATACTTCAAAAACACCGAGATACCAATTATTTGCTATAAATATAAGAAACCTGTTAGAAATATCATATTTAATTACAACAAAGTGGTTTCTGACTTAGATATTCAGTCTAATACTCCAACAACTTGAGACTGCAAAATTTTGGAAACAAAGTGATCCCTCGGAAGCATTAATCACAACAAAATAACATAAGAATTGCAGACTCGGTTTGATTGAGTCTGTACATGAGGGACAATGAATAAGTGCAACATCCCTCACGCCCCCTAAATTTTGTAATTCAGATTTTGGCCATGTAATCACTGGTAATTTTGATATAATTGCAGACAAAAGAATTCGTAACTTATTCTTGAAAGGACCTAAATACAGAATTCCTTCTGAAATTGATTTTAATGCTTGTCGTGGTCAGATTGCTGAATCTATAGAGGATTTTTCGGTCAAATGGTGTCGCCGTGAAAATGCGGATAGTAATGCTCTAGATACATGGAAACGTAACATCTTTAAATTTATTGATTCACGTATTAATTTTTATCGTGGAAATGAACATCTTTTGCCACTTAAAACAAGACTTACTTTAAGACATCTGAAGAAAGATATTCTAGCTTTTCATTCAAAATTTGTTTTGGTCCTTCGGGATCATTGATGCCAACACTATAAAGTGTTGAGAATTGAGTACCGCTCAAGCCGGTGCTAGGGAGCGTGAGGGATGTTGCACTTATTCATTATCCCTCATGTACAGACTCAATCAAACCGAGTCTGCAATTCTTATGTTATTTTATTGTGATTAATGCTTCCGAGGGATCACTTTGTTTCCAGAATTTGGTGCCAGCGGACAAGGCGGCTAATAATATTATAATTGTATGACGAATCCATTACATTAACGTTTTGCATAAGGAACTTAATAGTACTAATGCGTATTTCTAAAACCTCTGCCTCCGAAAAAGACATTGTAAACAATCATATTACTAATATTTCAAATCTTAAAGTACAAATTAATGAAAAAGAACTTAAACTTCCTATTATGTATTGGATTCCTAAATTACATAAAAAACCTTACAAAGCTAGATTCATTGCTAATTTCTACATTGACGTCTTGTTTGACTGCCATTAAAAACACATGTAATTAGATATTGTGATAAAGTCTATGAAAACACAGGCAAACATCTCTTTTGGTCAATTAAAAATTCTGGTGAAATCTTGGATAAATTCAAAATTAATAACTTTCAAGCTTCAACTGTCAGTACATACGATTTTTCTACACTTTATACAACTTTGCCACATAAATTAATCAATGATAAAACTAATTTCCCTAATTCAGAAAACTTTTGCACGGGAAAAAGTTACCTTTCTAGCATGTAATTCTAACAAAGCTTTTTTTACTAACGGTATTGTAAAAAATTCTGGAAACAAAGTGATCCCTCGGAAATGTAAATGTAAAACATTATACTATGTGGGACCTGTGACGAAGTTTGTAGAGCACTCTCTTTTCTTTTAGACAACATTTTATGTCAGGTTGGTAATACCCTATTTTAAACAGATCATAGGGAATTTCCTATGGGTTACCTAATTGTGCCCCCTTTTGGTCGCCGTTTTGTTTTTTGTATGCTATAAAAGAGCCCTTTATGTTGGGGTTTTCTCGAAATAAACAACAAGATTTATAGTCCCCATTTAAAAATACTTCCGGGATCCCTTTTTAAATGATTTTTTTTAATTTAGTTTAATCCTTTTTTTGATAAATGGTGTTTTGAAAATTTATCCGCATGAACTAAAAATTTAAAAAAAAAACAAAACTTTTTAAAAATTTTTTAGTACACCCATTTTTGGATCTTCATTTTTCCTTTTAAACAACAATTTTTTATTCACACGAAAACCCTTATGATAAAAGAGAGGGACTTTAATTTTGTATAGTTAATTATCCCACATTTAGATGGAGACGTACCCCATGCAACATCTTACGGGGTTTATGTTTCCCAGTTAATTAGATTCGCTAGAGCGTGTAGCAACGTAAAGGATTTCAACGAGCGGAATATTTTTATTACCAGCAAGCTTCTAAAACAGGGCTACCGCTATCATAAATTACGGAAATATTTTACTAAATTTTACAATCGTAACTTTGATTTAATTTCCAAATTCAATAGTGATTTAAAAACTCCTCTGCGACAAGGGATTAGCCAGCCTGGGGTGAGTAACTCGAAGCTTTCGTTAGAGTTACGATCATCGTTAAGCCTTGGTTAAGCTCTAGTTAGTTATTTACCCTCTAACTCAAAGCGTTCGTTATACCAAAAATGCTAACGAAACTGTCGTAAAATAACGAACACCTCGGAGTACACGTTAGACCTTCGTTGAAGAAAAAGAAAAACAACGTGAGAAGCTATTTCAACAAATGAGTATGGATTATTTCTTTATTTTGTATTTCTTTCGTATTTTACAGGTAATAAGTACTTAGTATGTTCTAGTCACAAGATAGGATTTGCAGCGATGTGATTTTTTCATTCAAAACTTCAAACGCGCTGGCTATGGTCAAGTCTTATATAAAAAATACCCCATATTATTTATGTCCACATGGCATGATTCAAGCTTAAATGCCATAAATAGATACATGTTACCGGGGACCTTACCGACTTTTCATACTGCATACGTTTTCAAAATATATACTGTTTAATTTTTATAATGAAAATAATAAAAATAATAATCGCGCAACTGTACTCAATAAACTTTAGTGAGCATTTCTTTCGTAAATGATTTTTAAAATATTTCCAAATATTTGTATAAAAATTATTTATTTATAAGTGGTGCGTTTTTCACTCCAGACAATGGCCGCCTTGCTGTTAGCAGTTGCATTAGAGCGCCGTAGGAGAGGGACTATTCCGCAGGTACGCGTTTTTCGAGATAGAGAAAATCCTCTCGACTTCATGGATGATGTTGATTTGATAAAAAAGTATAGAATGAACAGAAATGCCATTTACGATCTCTGCGAGGCGCTCAACAATGATCTAAGCCGTCCAACCAAAAGAAGCAATGCACTTCCGGTATCTCTCCAAGTACTGATGGCATTGAGATATTATGCAACTGGAAGTTTTCAATCTGTAGTTGGTGATGGTTATAGTGTAAGCAGTATGTCAGTATCGCGTTGTGTACGCGATGTTTCATATTTTATAACACGGCGTCTACAAAATGAAATAAAATTTCCCCTACTTGGTGAACAGCAACGACTGGAAAAGCAAAGATTTTACGAGATTGCGCAGTTTCCGCATGTTCTTGGTACAGTGGATGGGACATTAGTCCCCATGATGATGAACATATTTACGTTACGCGTAAGGGATTTCATGCGCTGAATATTCAGGGCATATCTGACTCAAACAATATGCTTTTAAATCTAGTGGTTCGTTGGCCTGGTTCAACCCATGATGCATTTATTCTCGCTGACAGTGGTATTTCAGAGGAGTTTGAATCTGGACGTATTCAACATGGATGGCTCCTAGGTGACAGCGCATATCCCCTGAAAACATGGCTGCTGACACCAATTTCTGCACCACGTGATGCAGCTGAACGGCGTTACAATTTTGCTCATAAGAGGACAAGATGCACGGTTGAAAGAACATTTGGTATCTGGAAAATGAGATTCCGATGTTTACATAAATCAGGAGGATATCTCAGTTTTTCACCAGCAAGATGTGTAAACGTAATAATGGCAACAGGGATATTGCACAATATTTGTACAAGAAAACGCATACCTCTGCCTGACGATACAGACGAGGACGATAGCAACCAGCAAGCTGAGACTGAAAATGAAAATGAACAAGAACAGGAACAGGAAGTGTTTCAGGACGGACGGCAGGCACGGGCAGATTTGATCAACAGAGTATTTAGATAACTGACTGAAATTCATATATATTAGAATGCTTAATCAATAAACATAGGGAAAACAAAGCGACTTGTTGAGAGCTCTGTTATCTTATGGTTATTTGTGTTTTTGCCTCGCAAGTCAACACTATCTGTGTTGCATGTTTAACAATACATCACGTGTATTCTTTCATATATGAAATCAAAAGAATATAATACATGCACTTCATTGCTGTTTTAAACTTTTAATACTTAAAAAAAACGTAGAACTTATACTAGTTCTATATACAAAGTAAAATAAAAAGAGTTCATCATAAACACATACATGTACATGTACACTGAATTAGCGCAACACAGTATATTGATAAATGTTATAATTAAATTCAGCGTAGTATATTAAGAAAACCATTTTATATGTTCCATATACTTTGAATAAATGGCTTACCACTATTTTCATGGAATGAAAAAATATAAATCGAAACTTGCTTTGTATCTCAAAGTATTTTCATGTTAACAACAGACGAACATTTTAAATATTTTCACCAGTGTGTAACAAAAGTATTGTAATCGAAGTTTTACAGAAATTGAAACTCATTCCTTGACTAGCATCATTAAAATCATAACAAAAATTATCTTGCTACAACAAATTTGCAAGCATGACCGTATATATTGTACTTAAAAATATAGAAATGATGTGTAAGATCGGAATATATTTCACCGAGTGAGCACCAAAAGGTATATTTCACGAGTGGCGCAGCCACGAGTGAAATTTTAACTTTTGATGATCACGAGGTGAAATATATTTCGATCTTACACTAAACTAAACAAATTTTCTTTTTATTATATGCAAATAAACGTTTAAGAAACATTTTAACCTAACACCAAATAAAAAATACGCCAAATATTAATACAATACATATATCCAACAACTTGCATGGATTTGTTTTCTTTAGATGCGTTTTATGCCGAACATATGATATACAAATCAAAAGATAAATAAAGACTGTCAACTGTTTCTTGTGTGTTTCACAGATATATGCTTGAACATTCGTACTTACAATAAAAAGATAAACAAAATCAAAAATACGAAAAAAAAGATTACAAAGATACGATTTCACACATATTTGAATATTCCATCTGAATTGTGTCTAAATGTGGTACATGTGTCGTGTGTAAGAAAGTAGATTTGAAGGAATTTGATCTATCATATTATGTCCAAATCGAATCTTGCCGCAGTATTTGTAAACAATATTAGCCCACTTCTGTTTAAAATCTTTAATGCTTATATTGATACATTTTAAGTTTTGCATTTTTGAGATCATATACAGAAAATCATCTGGACCGACAGGTGCTGCGTACGTAATGATAAAAGTTTCGACCGAATTCAGTTTCTCAGCAAGAAAACACTGCTGTTCAATATTAAATGAGGCACCTTTAATTTCAATATATTTCAAATGTGACAGTACCCGGAAGTAAAAGTTCAATAACATCCATAGGAGATCTTCCGAACACCGAAATAGTTAGCTGTCGCAATTGTCTAAGATTGGCAAAAATACATCTATTAATGTTGAATAGATCAACATCCAACCGCAAAATCACCAACTTCCTCATATGCGGTATTACGGTGGAGAAATCAGGAACTGACAAAGGCTTTACAAGTGTGACATTTCTAAAAAGTGCCCAAAACCAAGTTGCATTTGTAATTTTCTGCCATTTTTTACACACCGCTGGAATGGTACTTAAAATTTCGTCAACTGGAATCATGACAAAAATCATTCCTAAAACTTCTGGCGGCAGCTCGGTTCTTACCTGTAAAATAATAGAAATATATCACTAAACGTAAAACTGCTTCAATCTTAAAAGTTAAAGTTGAAAATTTACCGTTTAGCAGTTAGTATATATGAGCCGTGTCACGACAAAACCAACATAATGGGTTTGCGACCAGCATGGATCCAGACAAGCCTGCGCATCGGCGCAGTCTGATCAGGATCCATACTGTTCGCTTTTAAACATTTTAACAAGTACAGAAACTGATAGCGAACATAATGGATCATATCAGACTTTGCAGATGCGCAGACTGGTCTGGATCAATGCTGGTCACAAACGCACCATGTTGGTTTTGTCGTGACGCGGCTCAATATATTATGTTTTACTATACAAAGCTATTGCATACTAGTATAGATGATACTTTTGACTGATAAATATTTCACAGACTAATTACAAGTTGCAATTGTTTTCTCAAATGGCATAGTCACGATTGAAAATATAAAAGTTGGTGTTCACGGGGGGAATATATATAATTTCATTTTGTAAAAAGAACAAATTTTCTGTTAATGATTTTAGATTTACATTTTACTGATATTTAGCGACTTGTAAATGAAATTTGGAATTAAATGTATATAATATCAATTCCCGCATATTCACTGTCAAAAAATAGTTTTTCACTGCAGTGAACCATAACTTCCGTATTTTCACTGGGGTCTCCCCGGACTACTTTCTTCTAAATTCAGCCAATGCATAAAATTAACGGGAAAGTTATAATGTCAATAATGAGAAAAATGTATATAATAAAAAGAAAATTTAAGATTCCGCCACTCATGAAATATTTATTTTCATACCACACGATGAAAATAAATCGTGCATTTATAGAAAAAAACATAAATATCCTCTATATTTTTAACATTATGGCAGACATGTAATCACATCTATGTAAATAGCATACCTAGATTTTAAGGATGTATGAATATAGTTCAAATTATATTATTCTAGGGTGTATGAATATAGTTCAAATTACATTATCTGTTTGCTCTAACTTACGTTTTGTTCTTATCCTTTCTTGTTTTTTGTTTATTCGAAAAAGAGTTATCATGTATATAATAAAACTAAGGTAGGGACAATGCTGAATACATTTTATACTTATTAAACAACAACAACAAAAGAAATATGACAGTTTGAATAATTGGTAAAGCTTGTGCATTGTGGGTCAAGTTTGTATCAGCGGTCACGGTCATAGGACTTAATAAATAATCAGTTTGAAAATGAATTTTAAGACGACGTTCTGTCAAAATAAAATACTGACTTTGACATTATTTTAGATCATAGAATGAAACACCATAATATGTGTATCCTACAGTATTCAAATATTGAACATTTGGTCAAATCAAAACTATTTTTTATAAAAACACTTCTTGTGTTCTTGGATTAACAAATACCTTTACAAAGACGTATATGTCTGTGCTTCAGTGAATTGGTCAGCAAAATGGTTGTTTAGAGAACCGTCCCTCTGGCTAACTAATCTAGTCAAAAGTTCAATAACTTTTTCTTCTTTCTCAGCTCTCGACTTTTCTATATCAAGACGTGACTTTTCAATGTTTAACCTTTCTCCCTCAATGCGAAGTCTTTCCTTTTCAATGGATAAAATGTCGTCTGAAACTAGTTGACTTCCCGTCTTCTTTCGCTTTTTGTCAAGTGAAGGTGTTTTTTCTAAGCACCTCTTAAGAGATTGCACTTCAGGTTCTTGGTCGATTATAACCGTATCACCACTATCAGAATTCCCTGGCGATTCATAAGTCTCTAATGTGCTGACAGCAAAAGCTGTTTCACTGTCGTCCGAGTTTGGATTTTCTTTTGGTTCTTCATTGTATATGTCAGAAAAATTCTGACTCGGGCTCACTGAACTTGGACTGCCCAGCGTGTCCATCCCCTTCAGGTAAACCAGAAACTACAACTTTTCCCAGAATAACTAATACCTTCTCTTCCAACAGACTTAAATCAGGCAAAGTGTCAACACCGCCACCAGTTTTGGTTTGGCTTTTTTTTCTTTTTAGATGCTTTGACCTTGACAGTGCTTGACCAATCATTCCATTTTCGCCGTATTTCGTCAACCGTACGAGTAACCTGAGAGACAGCATTGATCTTGTTTGTCACTTCGCCCCACGACTTTTTCTTTTTCTCAAGAGATAGAGTATCACTAAATTTACCAAATAATGTAATTTTTCTCAGACCTACCTCATGACAAAGTATTTCAAGTTCATCTTTTTCAAAGCGTGGTCGCCTTTTACCTTTTTCTTCCATTATTATTTGTGGTGCAATGTACTCTATGTGTCTATGACAGATGGCGCGAAATGCTGTGTATACCCTTATCGATTACACAACGATTTCGTTATGAATTTTAACTAACGATTGCTTAGCGATTACATAACGATGCTTTCTGGTTATGCAACAAAAACAATCGTAAAAATGACTAACGTGTTCGTTACGCGATCGCTAACGCCTTCGTTAGCGTGATTTTAACGAAAGCTTCGAGTTACTCACCCCTGGTTTTTATGGCGATGTGATTTACAAACTTCGTAAGATTTTAGGTCATGGTAATTTTTCTGCTGTTTTTACTAAAATCATTAAACGTTTTATTAGTCCCCTACCGGTTTACCGGAGGGGACTTTAGGTTTACCCTCTGTCCGTCTGTCTGTCAGTCCGTCCGTCCACAAAACTGGACCCCGCGATAACTTGAAAAGTGCTGAAAATATTTTTATGAAACATGGTATATGGATAGATGGCAGTATGGAGATTATGCACGTCTTTTTCTTTTCTTCCTATGTTGAAAATTCTGGTTGCTATGGCAACAAATAAGCTGAAAATGTGGCAAATTTTACACATAAACTGGATCCAGTGATAACGCAAAAAGTACTGGAAATATTTTTATGAAACTTGACGGAAGGGTAGATGGCAGTCTTGGAATTATGCACGTCTTTTTTATATGCCCGAAAGGGCATATTATGTTATACCCCCTGGCGTCCGTCTGTCTGTCCGTCCGTCCGTACGTACGTCCGTCCGTTAGCAATTTGGTTTCCGGAGCATGACTTAAGTTCCATTTGGCCCACAATGTTCAAACTTCATAGGATGATTGTCCATATTGGGTAGAAGACCCCTATTGATTTTGGGGTCAAAGGTCAAGGTCACTATGACCTTAAAACTGAAAACAGTTTCCGGAGCATGACTTAAGTTCCATTCGACCAACAATGATCAAACTTCATAGGATGATTGTCCATATAAGGTAGAAGACCCCTATTGATTTTGGGGTCACAAGGTCAAAGGTCAAGGTCGCTATTACCTTGATACTGAAAACAGTTTCCGGAGCATAACTTAAGTCCCAATTGACCCACAATGTTCAAACTTCATAGGATGATTGTCCATAGTGGGTAAAAGACCCCTACTGATTTTGGGGTCAAAAGGTCAAAGGTCAAGGTCACTATGACCTTAAAACTGAAAACAGTTTCCGGAGCATAACTTAAGTTCCATTCGACCCACAATGTTCAAACTTCATAGGATGATTGTCCATATTGGGCAAAAGACCCCTATTGATTTTGGGGTCACAAGGTCAAGGTCACTATTACCTTGATACTGAAAACAGTTTCCGGAGCATAACTTAAGTTCCAATTGACCCACAATGTTCAAACTTCATAGGATGATTGTCCATATTGGGAAGAAGACCCCTATTGATTTTGGTGTCACAAGGTCAAAGGTCAAGGTCACTATTTCATTGATACTGGAAACAGTTTCCGGAGCATAACTTAAGTTCCATTTGGCCCACAGTGTTCAAACTTCATAGGATGATTGTCCATATTAGGTAGAAGACCCCTATTGATTTTGGGGTCAAAAGGTCAAGGGTCAAGGTCACTATATCCTTAAAACTGAAAACACTTTCTGGAGCATAACTTAAGTTCCATTTGGCCCACAATGTTCAAACTTCATAGGATGATTGTCCATGTTAGGCAAAAGACCCCTATTGATTTTGGGGTCACTAGGTCAAAGGTCAAGGTCACAATTACCTTAAAACCAAAAACAGTTTCCGGGGCATAACGTAAGTTCCATTTGGCCCACAATATTCAAACTTCATAGGATGATTGTCCATGTTGGGCAAAAGACCCCTATTGATTTTGGGGTCACTAGGTCAAAGGTCAAGGTCACAATTACCTTAAAACCAAAAACAGTTTCCGGGGCATAACGTAAGTTCCATTTGGCCCACAATATTCAAACTTCATAGGATGATTGTCCATATTGGGTAGAAGACCCCTATTGATTTTGGGGTAACAAGGTCAAAGGTCAATGTCACTTTTACCTTAATACTGAAAACAGTTTCTAGAGCATAATTAACGTTCCAATTGGCCAACAATATTCAAACTTCTTAGGATGATTGTCCATATAAGGTAGAAGACCCCTATTGATTTTGTGGTCAAAAGGTCAAAGGTTAAGGTCATTATTAATAACTTAAGTATTAATCAACCTACAGCTGTAAAATTTTATAGGATGAACAGCTAATTTCCATGTCTTATAAATGCTTCATCCTTATTAAAAAAAAAATACTTTCGGGCATATAATGCTCCGCCTAGCGGTGCTCTTGTCTTTTCTTCTTATGTTGGAAATTCTGGTTGCTATGGCAAC